CGCCCCCGCCTTCTCTTCTTCCCCCCCCCCCCCCCCCCCCCCGGTTTTACCCCAACAGCCCCCCGGGTCGGGCTGTGTTCCCCCCCCCCCCCCCCGCTTAGAACATTAATGGCGTCTTGTCTCCCGCCACTCCTTTCCCACCCTGTGCGCTAATGAGAAAATAGCAGACAACCTGAAGAGCTGCTAGAAGTACACGTCAAGCATTGTTTTTGCACTCTTGCGTCCAGTCAAGGGCTAGGCACGTGATAACGTCTAGTAAATACCAGGTGGATGATTGAACAACCCAATCAATCCGTGCCCTCAGAATACTCCCAGGCCCACATCACGTTCCCTGAGCAGCGCCTTGCAGGGGAGGGAGCTGTTTGGCTTTCGCACGAAGGCAGTAGATGGGATAGCTGCTTATTCCCTGTACTCCCTGTCTTTGTGGCTTCCAGGTTGAAACTTCTACTGAATCACACCAATATACTGCGGCCCCACTATCAGTTTGAGGATTCGGACAACATCTGGGGACAGAATCAGAGCATGGCAGATGCTCTCAAGGATCCCGAAATTCTTCGGGCTACCTGTCCCTACTGTAATATTGGTAATGGCACAGCTGTGTAACTCTTTCTGACAGTCTTTTGACAATTACCTCCCATGACTGTATGTGTGTGTGTGTCTTAGGGGAAAGCACAGAGTAGGTACACTCTTAGTCATTTGAATTTGGTGCGCAAAGAGCTTGGTAGGCAAAAGCAACCTTTCTTAGGCAGAGCAGAGACGCCTAATTTTTGACTCCTTAGGTCTGGACTAGAAACAAGTAGGGGAAAGAGCTTATATGAACAAGAGAATGAGCTGGTGGTCCATACCTATAACCGCAGCCTTGGAGAAGGGGAGATAGGAGAGTCAAGCCTTCAAGACTGGCTAGAAAACCAGTTTGAACGCAGCTAAAGCTACATGTGAATCTGTCTTGAAAAACAAAAACAAAATCAATCAAAACAACACAAAGCCAACAAAAAAACAGAACACAGTATCTGGGACAGAAAAGGGGGAGGGCGGCTCTCCTCTAATCTCTCAGCGTTCTCTAGTTCCTCCCTGCTGTGGACAGGTACCCTTGTGAGCTCCTTCAGCCATTAGCAGTGCCCGCCTTCGGCCTATCTGCTCCCCTTTGGTGCCATCAACACATAATGTGTTGTAAAGAGCAAAAAAAGTGTTCATCTGTCATACTGATAGGGAAAGTAGGACAACAGGTGGCTTGGCAGTCATACTCTGGGCTTCTTTTAGGTTCCCTGCAACGGGTTCTTGCAGATGCTCATTGTCACTTTTCTCCCTAGGGGGAGTAATCCTCAACATCAAATGGCTGGAGGCCGTGTTCTACGCGGTCATCAATGTCTGCACATCAATGAATGTGTTTCACTCACACGTGCTGCAGCTTCTCAACAAATTGTTCCTCTCTGTGCACTTAGAAAGCTGCAAGAAAGACATATCCTTGTGCCCCAAATTTCGTTTAATACATTTTATGAACAAAACCTACATCAGGAACTTGTTTCGTAAAAGGTAAGGCGCCAAACGTCTGATCTGTCCCACAATTTTGTCTTAACCTATGTTCGACACTTTTTGTTTGTTTGTTCGAGATAGGGTTTACTCTGTGTAGCACTGGCTATCCTGGAACTTGTTCTGGAGACCAGGTTGGCCTTGAACTCACAGAGAACGGCCTGCCTCTACCTCCCAAGTGCTGGGATTAAAGGCATGCACCACCGCTGCAAGGCCTCTAACAGATACTTTTTAAAAAAAAACCTTTCTTTGTGAGGGGGCTTGTTGATAGCAGAGGGAAACCTGTAGGAGTCAGTTTTCTCTTTTAGCGTGTGGATTCTGAGATGAGACTTAGAATGTGGGCTTGGCAGTAAACCCCTTCACCCGCTGAGCCCTCTCTTCTGCCTCACACATGCTTCTCTTTCATCCTTTCCTGTTCCTCTCCGTGTCTCAGGGTTGGTTGGTTTGTTTGTTTTGTTGTTGTTTTGAGAGTCTCCCTATGCAGACCAGGCTGGCCTTGAATCTGTGATCTTCGTGCCTCAGGCTTTCAAGTTCCAGGATTGCAAACAGGCCTGACTGCATTGCCTGACCTGTGTTCTCTTTTTAAATTGGTGCAAATAAATACACTTTCGAAACAAAAAAATTCAACCAGTAAAAAACAACAACTACAGAAAGACCCAAAAGCTTCCCTGCCTTTTGAATACCATTTCATAGCTAGTTGGCTAACAGACTATGTCTTTGTCATTTTCTCTAGGCACCAACAGATCTTTGTGTTGTGGTTAGATGGTAAGATGTACGAATATCTATTTCCACAGTGTTAGAAGAAGCACAGGCGCATAATACCACCTTCGCTTTCTGCATCCGGCTAGAACTCTGTGTGGATGCGAGCATCGCCTGCTTCACGTGGGAACAGCAGCCGCACAGGCAGCCTGTAGACACTCTTGTCGTCAATCTCATCTCACCCTGCCTTCCTCCACCTCAGTTCTGCACAGTGGGTTTTGAGAACATCCATGCTCTGACTTTGAATGCTTGGACTGGTGTTTCTGCTGTGGAAATGTACTGAAGACTATCTGAGTTGTAAGACACACATATATACAAAACATAGCCACCAATGCCACATTCGAATGTCGTTTTTCTACAGCATGGCGACGATCAAGTCAACCTTTCTGGTCTTTGCTCCTCCAATATGTAAAGTTTGCTGCTGTCATTACCAGTGACTTCTGTGTCTCTAGGCTCAGTGAACATTCTGAGTTCCTTTGCTCGGTGGGCTACTGGCCATGCCATCATTCTTTTAAGTAATTCCTCTTGACTTTTGTGATCCCTGACATTCCTGCCCTTTCCTAGCTCTCCTGCTGTCCTCCCCTCAGATGTGAGCCTCCTGAGCCCTCTTTTCTTTTCATCTACCTTCGTTCCTGGGTGGTCTTTTCTGGTTTGGGAATTCAGGTTGCCGTTTTTTTACTCTGGGCGCCTAAGACTCCACATCGGTGCTGTGCACACACTCACGGGTAAGCGCACAGTCGCCATCCACCCTGAAAGCCAACACGTGCGAGGGCAACCCTGTTTCATGGCTTCTTATCTAACTTCCTCTGCTTCACCAGGGGCTTCAGGCACCTGAGACCCAGACATAATCACTGGTTCTAGTTCTTCTTCCCAGGAGATAATTCCGTTTGGGGATTTCCCTCACATCTTTGTTGTTTTGTTTCCTGAATCTCTTTTAGTTAGTTAGTTAGTTAGTTAGTTAGTTAGTTAGTTAGTTAGTTAGTTAGTTAGTTTTTTTTTGTTGTTGTTTTGTTCTTTTTAAGACAGGGTTTCTCAGGACAGCCTTGGTTATCCTGGAGTTCCTGCTTTAGACCAAGCTGTCCTCGAACTCAGAAATCCGCCTGCCTCTGCCTCCCAAGTACTGGAAATAAAGGCGTGTGCCACCACTGCCTGGCTAGTTTCCTTTTTAATTTTAATGGATCATAGTCTATAATAAGTTCATGAGAAAAACAAACATTGGGAGTAATTTTGGAGATTCATTATGTTTGGAAATGTTTGTGCTCTTACCAAGAAATGGTTAAATAGCAGATTGTAAGCTGAAAATCGTTTTCCTGTAGTGCTTTTGAGCTCTGTTCCATTGTGTTCAGCTTTTAGGCTGTCGGGAGCTATGGAAAAGCCATAAATACGAGCTTCTCTAACTCATCGTGTTCTTACATTTTTGGTTTTGGAGACAGTCTTGTCTAGTCCAGGCTGGCCTCAAGCTGTAACCCAGGCTGCTCTTGAGCTACTGATTCTTTTGGCCAAATCCCAGGTGCTGGGCCACTCTTGCTTTTTTTTTTTCTTTTTTTAATTTTACACAGTGTTTCGCTACATTGCCTTACCTATACTGAAACTTGCTCTCTAGGCAAGGTTGGCCTTGAACTCACAGAAATTCTGCTTCTTGGGTACTGGCCTTAAAGCTGTATGTCACCATGCCTGACTCCAGATCCTCATTCTTGAGTGGCGAGCACTTAACTGATTGAACCATTTCCCAAGCTCCCTGCCCCATTACTTTTTAAAAATAATGTGAAATGTAACACACGTACAGAAGAAGTTCATGTTCTGTTTGTAAATCTACCGTTTTATGGGTTATTGTGAAGCAAATGCCATGTCACCCCATGCCAGAGAAGTGGGGTGTTCAGCTAGGCTTTGCAGTCTGGGTTCTCCAGTCTTCTCTGATTATTTCTCTGCAGTTTCCCATTTTCCTCTATTGTCCCTGTTATTCTTTCCTTTTTAGACCTCTTGGGTGGGTCTTCCAATTTCATGTCTTCTGTTATTAACATCTTTGCCTTCTGCTTTCCTGGCTTCCTCTGCTTTCTTCAGTGCCTTGCTGCTGTTAGCATACTTTAGTAGAGCATTTTTATGTTTATTTTATGTTTGAGATTCTCTGAGTTTTCCTTTTGACAGCAGCCTGCTGTCGTTTCCTTACACAGTATTCTTGTTCTTTTGAGACTATAAACAGTTGTAGTGTTTTCTCCTCCTATTGATTTACTTCTTCCAAATTGTTTAAAAAATTGTTTTTTAAAGTTTATCTCTCACATGCATGTTTGCTTTGCCTGTGTGTACGTCTACGCACCGTGTGCGCACTCGTGGCAGCTCAGGCATCACTACCACAACTTGACAGCAACCTTGACAGCATCAGCAGGGAACCCCTGAGCACCTCTCCAGCTCCCTACGCTGCTTTTCAGTCATGTGGTTGCTATTGTTCAGTTTGGAACTCAGAGGCTTTCTTCTTGGCAACTTGCTCATATTTAGGATCCTGACTGCTAAAATTTGTATTTGTCTAAGCGCTTGCATCTCTGTTCCTCCTAGCTGTCTCACCCCTTCTAGCACACAGCAATCACTGTTCTTTTTACTGGAGCCATCTTGCTTGTTCTGAAAGGCCACATGGCTGGAATCATGTATGTATGCTGGTTTTTCAGACTAGCTTATGTTTCTTCTATGTCTTTGCATGACCTGCTGGCTTATTTTGCTTTCATACCTAACCATATTCCACTATCTGTCTGTACCACGCTTCATCTATTTACCTCCAGAATGACATCATGGTTGTTGTCTTAGATGCCGTGGTTGTTGTGAAGAGATATCATGACCGTGACAACTCTTACAAAGGAGACATTTCATTGGAGCTGGCTTATAGCTCAGAGGTAGTTTGGTCCATTATTGTCATGGTGGGAAAGGTGGAGGTGTGCGGGCAGACATGGTTGCTCAAGAGGCAGCTGAGAGTTCTACATCTGGATCCACGGGCAGCAGGAAGAGACAGAGAGCTACACTGGGCCTGGCTTGGGCCTCTGAAACCTCAGGCCCACTCCCAGTGAGACACCTTCTCCAACCTGGTCACACCTCCCAACAGGTGCCAACCCCTATAAGCTTATGGGGGCCATTTTCATTCAAACCACCACAGTTGTTTTTAAGTTTTGATAATTCTGACTGAAACTGCTATAGACACTTAGGTGTAGGTGTTTGTAAGCAGCAAAATTTCCGTGTGTCCTGTTTGTTTTGCTAAGTACAAGGCTTGGCTGTTGTTATCTGGTAGAGAATAGTTTTCTAGAATCTGGTAAAGTGGCTCCCAGCGTCTCGTCAGCATTCCCAGCAGCACAGTTCCTGTTGTTTCCTCAGCTGGTGCTGTCAGGGTTCTGGACTGTGGCAAATTCAGTAGGTGGGAAGTGCCATCTCCTTGCCTAGGTGGGTGGTGTCATTAAACTTTGCTTGTTGAAGACCTTTTCCTGTGCTTGCTTGTTTACAATCTGTGTTATCTTCTCCAATGACAAGTCTGCTAAGGTCTTTTTTTTTTTTTTTTTTTTTTTTGAGACAGGGTTTCCCTGTGTAGCCTTGGCTGTCCTGGACTCACTTTGTAGACCAGGCTGGCCTCCAACTCACAGAGATCTGCCTGCCTCTGCCTCTGCCTCCCCTAGTGCTGGGATTACAGGTGTGCACCGCCATGCCTGGTGTCTGCTAAGGTATTTTGTCCATTTTTAAAGTGTGTTCTTCATCTGCTTATTCAGTTTTCAGGACTAGTTCTGTATTTTAGTTAATAGTCTCTTATTGGAGATGTCTTTTTCAGATAGTTTCCAACTGTGATCTGCTTTTTTATTCTCTTGACAGTGTTTGTCATGGGGAAGACTTTGTTTAATTGAGACAGAATGTCTGTCTGTAACCATATCTTGTCCAGAACCCAGCAGGCTTAGGCTGGCCTCAAAAGCTGCTATGATCCACTTAGCTTTGCCTCCTCATGCTGGGATTACAGGCTTGTACAGAAGGTTTTCATTTTAATCAACAGCAGCTCACTTTTTCTTTCATGGATCCTGTCTTTCATGCTTGTGATGGGTAAGCTTGACTGTCGGCATGCTTGGTTGGGTTAAATAACTCTCAGGAGCACTCTTTCAGGTGTGTCTGGGAAGGTGTTTCCAGAGAGAATTCAATAAGGGAGATGCCAGTCTGAGTGTGGGCAGTGCCATCAGATACACTGAAGGCCCCAGGAGAAAGCCAGGCTTATGAGAGCGCAGGCA